CCGTAACGACAGATGGAGCCCGAAGTCATGGATTAAATGAACTCAATGGACACTTTTAGAGTGATGATCCATAGACTAAGGGAATGATATCTGGAGACAGGAGAAGTGGTGGTGATCAACTGGACAATGGGGGAGCTGGGCATGACGTAGATGGTATGGAATAAGGGGTGGATAATGTCCTGGGTTTGGCCAGAACAGGGTTAATTTTCACCGGACTCCAGGAAGGGGCACAGCCGGGGGGTGGGGGCTGACCCCACCTGGCCAAACAGAGCCCGGTATTCCATACCATGTGACGTCACGCTGGGTTCCGGTGGGGGGGGCGGCGCAGCGGGAACGCACTCGCGGCTCGGGAGCGTGCGGTGCCGGTGCGGTCCGAGAGAGCGGGTCTGTTTTTGTCGTGTTTTTCTCCTTATCTGTATCGTTGTTGTTCCTGTTTCCCTCTGTTTGCTGTTTCTGTTAAACTGCCCTTATCCCGACCCACCAGTTTCTGCCTCTTTCTTTCCATTCTCCTCCGCACGCCGGCGGGGGGCGGGGCGGCCGCGTGGCGCTTTTGTTGCCGGTGGCAGCCGAAACCGAAACACTTTCTTTACTGACAATGTCAACAATAACGTAGCTCGCGTTGGGGCTGCTCAAGTGCTGACCGCTTGATGAGGTTTCGTACCCGAGAGCCTGTGAATGTTCTCCCGGGTGCTAAAGAGCTTTTAAATATCGGTGTCGGTGTCTTTTGCGGAAGGATGGCAGTAACAACAGGTAAGGCCAGGCTGCGTGCAGCGAGATGGGGGTGATGGAGGCAAAAATGAGAAGTCTGCTGGTAGTGTGAGGAGGGAAGGCGCTGAGCCTTAGTTTGTGGTTTCAGGCTGGTCCTCAGCACTCAACGGCGTTTGTGTTTCTTTCAGATCTCCCAGGTACCCCTGTTGACCTAGTGATCAACTGCCTGGATTGTCATGAAAATGCCTTTTTGAGAGATCAGCCTTGGTACAAAGCAGTTGTGGACTGGGCCAACCAGAACCGGGCACCCGTCCTCAGCATAGACCCTCCGATAAACGAGATGGAGCAGGGCATTGACGCCAAGTGGTCGCTGGCCTTGGGCCTGCCCCTGCCCCTGGGCGAGCGGGCAGGGCGCGTGTACCTCTGTGACATTGGCATTCCCCAGAAGGTCTTTCAAGAAGTGGGAATAAACTACCACTCGCCATTCGGCTGCAAATTCGTCATCCCCCTGCACTCCACTTAGGGCCCGTGCAGCCACACGGCTCTGAAGGGAGAGAAGAGAGAAGGAGGAGGAGGTCTGTCAAATAAGCTGTCCAGTGGATCCTGACTAGTAAACTCGTGACGCCTTAAGGATGTGAAGTTCTGGAGAGTTTTCCTTCCAGAAGAAACATTGTGTATCTGAAAAAAAAAACCAACAACAAAAAAAAAGAATAATCGTAAAATGAAACAAAAAAAAGAAGGAAGCGAATGTTCCTGTGAAGCTGTTTTCATTCTCTTGTGCCATTGTATGAAGGAACACGCAGGAAGATGGTGTCTGTCCCTGGCCAAGGCAGCCGCTGCTGCCCAGGCCTGGCCGGGAGGCTGTGTAACGAGGAGGTGGTACAGGTGATGGGTGATTTTGAGATGTGTTCCTGTCCCTCTGGGCGGGTAGACCCAGCAAGGGCATCCTGGTGGGAGCAGCACCCCTTGACTGGGTAGAAATACCTTCTGTTGCAGCCGTACCACGAGGGAGGATTTGGTTGCGTTCCGTTGTTCTTTTTGCCTCCCTCCTCCCCTGTTTTACGTTCCTGAAGGCAGCTGTAGCTCAGTTTCCCTCCTGGAGCCTCCGGCTCCTCGAGGAGAGCTGTCCCTCTTCAGAAAGCTTGTGTCAGGAGCCGGACGTGCTCAGGTCCGTGCTCTGGGAACCCCGCTGTCCTCAGCTAGGCCTGACTTGCTTGTATACTCTGTTGGCTTTTTGTTTGCTCGCTTAGTGGGTGAAGCCCAGGTCTGCGCAAGCGAGGCGTGTTTTGGAGAAGAACTTTTCCAGGATAGTTGTGTTTGGTATTTTTTTTTTTCTTTTTTTCTTTCTTTCTGGCACAGTGAGTGGCTGAATCAGGTAAAGGCTAGTGAAGCAGGGCGGTGACACTCTGAGTTTGTTGCGTGGCGTGCGGTGCAGGTGATGTTTGGGTGAGTTCTCCCAGTGCATCCAGTATCCCTCCTACACTCAGTGTGGTTTGGGGAATAGGCCGTGGATCCCGTTCATTCCCTTTGGGCTCGAAGCCTGCGTGTAGGGCAGGCTTGTGTGTGCACCCCTGTGCTGGGAACCAGCTTGAGGAAGGATTTGAGTCCTCGGCTCAGACGGTGCTGTCTGCTGGCAGGAGATGGTGTGGTGAGAGCTGCTGTCCTCCTGGAGGGCTTCGGCAGGAGGTTCTCCGTCTGAATTACCGCAGGGCATCTCACTCTGCTGCCTGCTCTCGTGCTGCACTCGCTCCCCGTGCGCTGCCAGGAAGCATTGGGTTATCTTTCCCTGCGTTTGTTTTGTTGGCCCCATGGAACCTTGGTGCTGTGCCTAGAGCAGGGACAAGCTGAGAACCTGCCAGCTAGCTGCCTTCGGGAAGCCATCATGCCAGCTCTGCGCGCTTCCCCGAGGCTTTGTGCCTGGCAGCTGACCCAGGGGAGCGCTGGACCTGGAGTGGTGCAGGAGGAGCTGTAAGGGCGAGCTGTTCCTTCAGAGGAACCGGGCAGGTGCAAGGCAGGGGCCCTGCCTGCTCCCGATGCCGTGAGCCTGGGCAGTGCTTGAAGTTCTGCTGCTCTTCTGGTACCTTACCTGTCCCCAGAGCTCCTGCAGGTACCCAGGCCTTGCAGAGACCCCGTTCAGGCAGCTGGGAGAGCTTCAGAGCTTCAGACAGTGCCTTTTCTCCAGGGCAGCTGGATCTCTTTGGAGGCTGGAGCGCGGGGACTTGTGGAAAGGGTTGTGTGGCTGCTCTGTCAAGCAGGTAGAGTCCCGCTTAGCAAACCTATTGCTCCGGGGGGTGAGGAGTTACGGATCAGGCACTTGTCCTTCCCTGTCACCTGCTTAGAACAAAGGCCAAGCGTATCAAAGGAGGAGGGAAGAGACTTCCCCAGCTGCAGAGAACCAGTTGAGTCGTTAATGCTGCCTGGAACTGTGGAGCGACGGGGGAAGACCCAGCAGTAAGGACAAGAGGCTGGTGAGGCCTGCGCCTTGCCGTACCTCCCTCAGCAGGATGAAGGCAGGGCTCTGCCCTCTCGCTGGCTGGACCCGGCTCCCCTGAGCGGCTCTGCACGACACAGCTGCGTCCGCTGGCCAGTGCCAAGTGGAGGCTGGGTGACGTGCCGGTGCTGTGACGGGGCGAAGCTCTGCCCTTGAGCCGCTGCTCTGCCCTCGGCCGGGCAAAGCCAAAGCACTCGTTCCTCAGGTGAACCACGTCTCGGCTAGAACTGTAGTGGCATTTAACAGGCTGTGGCTCTGACTCGGCCACGCTGGGAAGGGACAGCAGCGTGGCTGGTTACTTAAAACACAAAGGCGAGGCCTCCCTCTGCCTCTCTTGTTTCTTTGGCTGTTTTGACTTCAGGCAGAGGAGCAGCGGCTGGGTTAAAAAGGAGGATAACGGTCCCTTGGTCGTTGCTGTCGTACGGTGTTAGCGTTAGCCCCCTTCTTTTCACTTTCCTTGCTCAAGACACTTGCTAAGAGAACTTGTTTCAATTTCTGCTGTCCTTGAAGCGGGCTGCAGGCTTTTCTTGCCTCTTCTGGGCTTGGTTATGAAACTGTAGATTGTATGCACTGAGCAGTAACAGTGTAGAAATATTCCAGGCTTCGTCACAGGTTCCTTGTCTGCCCCTGCGCTGCTGTGCCACTGGCTGAAGTTCTGTGCCCAGAAGGGCACGGAACCAGGTTGAGACCTTTTTGCAGGGATGGCAGCTGGGCTCAGGTCTGTACTCGCCGCTGCACGGCGTGGGGAAGCACTAAGGCACCCTGCCTTGCCGGCTGTGCAGCAACAGGGTTCCCCACATTTAAGCAAAAAAAAATAAATAAAGTGAGCAGTGTTGCACAACGGGAGGGTACAAACCCTCCTGTGAGGGATTCCCCGTCCCTACGTGTGCAGTGTTTAGGGCACAGCAGGCAGCTCTGGGGGTGTTTGGCAGAGTTAAACTTCACCGTGCACCCACTTTCTGGAGACGAGAGCGGCTTTGGGCGTTTGGCTGTGTTTTCCCTCGGACACAGAGGCTTCCTGGAGGAAGCACTGGTCTCGCCCACATGAGATGCATCTTGGGTGCAGGTATGAGCTCTTCTGGAGCACTCAAGAGACCCAGAAAGGGATCTGGGTCCCTTCTTCTCCCCCTTCCCCCACGTTGCCAGAGTTATTTCAAAGACTAGAACACTTTTTTTAGCTGTGTTTGAGATAATAGTTTTTAACCACCATCCTAGGAACTGCCCACGGGTGCCGCTCTGGTCACTGACATGTGAAGATCACTGCACTATGTCACTGCTTGGTTATTCCATTTGTGACCCGATGTTTGTAACGACTAATTCCTGCCGCTATTGGGGGGATGCCCTGAAATAAAGTGCAACTATTCATCTGTGCTGTTGGTGTGCAGCTATTTATTTGTCTGCTGTCCTGCTAGAGCCCGACACCGCAGCTGGAGCAAGCCTGCCTGCAGCTCAGCGGAGCAAGGGCTGAGGCCAGGGAGAGTTCGCTCCACTCACCCTCACTTTTTTGCCCTCCACTGAAGCACAGAGTCCTGCTGCTCAGCTTCCAGTTAGTTTTTCAACATCTCCATCTTCCTTTGCAAAAAAGGCAAAGCTGGGAGCAAGAGACCCCTACACCTGCCTACGAGGGAAGTATCAAACAATAAGAAACACTTTATTTTAACTTTACAACATATAAATAGACAAATCTGTGCTTTCCAATGTAGCTTTCCTTCCCCTCCCCAGGGTCCTTGTCACAGTGCCCCAGCCCCTCCGAACTCTGAGAGAGGAGAGCGAGTGAAGCCAAGCTTCGGAGGCTAGACTGATTGCGTCTGTACAGGTCCCGCAGGCACCGCACCCTCCCCGGCGTCATCTGCTCAGATCCCGGCTGGCGCCTCGACCGCACAGCATCCTTTCCTCTGCGGAGAGGCCAGCAAAGAACGGATGCAGGAGGGCTTCCGAGAATGTGATCCGGTGGGAAGGGTCGAATTCTAACATCCTCCTCATCAAGTCAAAGAGCTGTGCGTGCTCCAGCGAGTCGTGCAGCATGTACGTCTGAAAGAGAAGGGCAGGGGGACAGAGAGGGGGGTGTAGTGCTCCGCTACGCCCTCGTCTGCGGTGCACGGCGAGGCAACGGCCGTCTCCCATCCTGAAGCACAGCGTCCTTCCTGCTCCCTACTATCTGCCCTGCTTCGGCCACACCAATAAACCTCTGTAACTGCAGATGAGAGTTCGGGGCTCCGTAAAAGCCAGTTACCAAGGGAAATGCCCATCCCTAAGCCCCACGCTGCTGCTCCGGGGAAAGGAACCAGAGAGCAGCTGAGCCTCGCACCCCAGCCAGCCCTCCAGCAGCCGCGGAGCAGCACCTACCCGCAGGGGCTTGCAGTTCTCTTGGACGTATCTCCCATCGGACGTGTTCTCATCCCACACCAGGTTCCCGTTGTGGAAATATTTTTGCTTCCTGCAAGGGAAAGGGGGTGTTCAGCCAGGCTACTCTGCGGCACGCCTACCCCGAAGAGCTCACCCGCAAGGGCAGAAGGAAGGCAGGAGCCGGCACAACTCAGTTAACACTGTAATCTCTGCCATACGTGAGCAGCTTAGCCAGTTCCCCTAAAATCTGCCATCAGGCTCCCGACCACCACTTCCAGCACATCTCCCATGGCTACACCCATATAGGTGAGACCTGGTGCGAGGAGGGACAGCTGGCACCCCACGTAACCAGCTGCAGAGGGTCGACTGGGCTGTCTGAGTTCAGGAGCCGGTTCTTACCGAGTTTTGTGGATCATGTGAGATGGAATTGGCCCGAGGATCTTTTCCATCATGACAAGATGCTCACGATTCTCGTGGGTCTGCAAAGGAACAGAGCGATGGTGCATTAATTCAGAACTTGGAGACGTGATGACATACGTTCTGTCACCTATACAAGTAACAAGGGAAGGAGCGACAAGGCTCCTGTCCACCTCTGCTTACTCTCCTGATCTTTCTGCTCTCCACAGGCACAGTGAAGAAACCAGAAGCGATGTGAACCTTCCAGCAAGCCACAAGTCCGCCAACCCTGAGTTTGCCCGGGGCTTATTTTCAAACTCAGCTGCTGGTTGTTAGTGCCTGGTCTGCACTTCCATTCCCTTCACCTAAGCTGGAGCCCTTTTAGACATCAAGGCTTCTCGGAGTACAGAGCCTCTCGCAAGAGTCATACCTTTTTTTTGCAGCCGGTACTCCAGACATCGCATGGCTGTGCCCAGCCGAGCTCTGCAAAGAGGATCAGGTTAATTTTGCGCTCCCAACGAGTCCCACCAGATTTCTACTAGTCCCTTGTTGAAATCGCGGGGGTTACGCGAAGGCAGTCCTAGAAGTTATCTGTGCACTCTGCAGTGCGGCACACTGGCAAGGGGACAGTCAGGTCTCCCCCAGACGATTCTGTTTCAACTTCAGCCGATTCCACGTTCCCCTAGAGCCAGTCTGAACACTCCCCACATCTCCCAGACTTTCCTCAGCTCTCTGCGCTCCATGTCAAGGGCCTGCACTACCCATGAACACCTTCCAGCCAGGACCTTGGGACCACTGCGGCAGTGGTGCAGCAATGCACAGAACACGTTGCCCCCAAGAACGGGCGTGCTCTCAAGCTGGTTTTCCTCTAGGCAGCGTCATCCTACAGCATCCTCGGGACAAGCGTTCTCCTCCAGCCACCCGAGTCTCCCGCAGCCCCGGCCGTACTCACCCAGAATCACTTCTGGTGGACGGTAGTGGCGGGTGGCCACGATGGTGGTGTGGTGCTCGTGATCAAAGGTGGCGCTTCCAAAGTCTGCCACGCGGATGCTTGTGTTCCGAATGGATTTCTCCTCGCAGCTCTGCAAGCAAACAAGTCCTCAGTGCTTCTAATAGCTGGTTCAAGATTAAGGCAGGCTTTCCGAGGAGCTCTCTGACCCCAGAGCTGCCATGTCTGCACTGATCAGAAGGATTATAACTGTGAAGCTCTGAGCTCTTTACATCTCAGATCAGCGTTAAGGAGAGCCGCTGAACACCCCACTTCATGGACTGGAGCCACTGAAGCAGCCTTATGGCTTTTAGAAGACATGGGAGAAAGAGGAGGCCCGGTCTCCAGTTTGTTCCCACTAAACAGACTTTTCAGGCCCTGTGGGGCATATACAGAACAGATCGGGAAAAGCAGGCTATTCCTGGTCTACTGTCTTCTCTTTTGGACATAACCCACCTTTTTCTCATTGTACAGAGTATCAAAATCCGAGTTGACAAACAAGATGTTCTCTGGCTTGAGGTCAGTGTGAGTCAGCTGGTTGTCATGTAAAACTGCACAGGTGGTGAAGAGGAGAGAGAAGAAAATACACGTAAGAACCACACACTGAAGCACCCACACAACGCTGCCCGTCCAAGCGCCACACCGCACCAAGCCAGCTCCTTCTCAGCTCCCTCCCAGCCCACCCCGGAGAGCCGGCATCGCCTCGCCAGGCGGGCCGCGGGCGACGTACATCTCAAGGCATGGCAGAGCTGGTAGGCCATGTGCCGGATCTGAGGGAGAGGGTACGGCTGGAAGTTGTTCTCCTTCAGGAACTCAAAAGTGTTCTTGCCCAGAAGCTCAAAGGCGATGCACATGTGGCCGTGAAAGTTGAACCAGTCTGACATCAGGACACACAAGCTGTGCAGAGAGAGAGAGAGAGACACGAGGATTAACCGTCGTTCGGGGCCTCGACAGAAGGGTCATTTTCCATTTCTGGCTACTTCAGAAGCATCTGGTGAGCAAAAGCTCCGAGCCAGCCAACTCAGAAGCACAGTAATACCTCTACATACACCAGACTCACCCCTTCCCCACTTGGCTCAACCACCTCTAGATAGAGATTGCCAATTCAAGTGGGACAGGGCGGCAGGTGGTTATTAGAAAAGTTTTGGTTAACTTTTCCTTTATGATCCAGCATGTCAGTTGTTAAGAGTTGTAAGTAAACAAGCGTTCAGTAGAACTAGAGACAGACTCCCTTCCAGAATGCAGAAGAATGAAGCAGAAGAATGAAGCAGGTTTTCCCCCAGGCAGGAGGCAAGCAGCAGGTATTCCAGTCCTCAGCCCCGCGTGTCTTTGGACATCACCCAAGCAGACCGCTTGTCTGTAAGGACGTGGTACTGACTACCCAGGTATCTTGTAGGAACTTACAATTTGTTCTCCTTGTCCTTCTCTTTGATTTTTTTCAGGACGTTAATTTCCAGCCTGGCTGCTTCTCGGTATTTTCCAACATTTTTTATGATTTTCAGCGCCACCTGAGATTTGCCTCTGTAAGGGAAGAGACAAAAGGCTGGAGTCAGAGAACAAAACACACATACACATGTCCTCAGTCCACAGACAGCAGGCAGAACCCATTTACTCCAGTCGTACTTTCATGTGTTAACAAGCTTAGTCACTTCTGGGTCCCAAGAAAGCTCTCAGGGGTTGACCAGAAGTTAAGTACCCACATGGAAGTTTGAAGTGGAAGGCTGCCGCAGGGTAACACTCCGCCAAGGGCTGCAGACAGCTCTGCAAGCACACCACCTCCTGACACGGCAGCCCGTAAGGTCACCGGCCCTGCCGCAGCCGCCTCCCCGCTCCCGCTGTGCCAGAGAGATTTCTGAGGAGGCAGGAGGTCCCAGCGGCTCCTACGCTAAGCTGACCCCGTGGCTCGGAGCCAGACAAAAGGTCAGGAAGAGACGGGTCAAGTGTAATCACAGGAGAGGTTAAAAAAAAAAAAGAAGTTCCCCAGCAGCTTAAGAGGTCACTTTCCCTGGCTGCGCGGCCCATCCCTCAGCCGGAGTTTGCTGCTTTTGCAGTAGGGCAGTGAAGCAGCCTGTGCCAAAGCTGTCGGTCACTGGACGAGCTCACAGAATCACAGACTGTTCGGGATTGGAAGGGACCTCTGTGGGTCACCCAGTCCAACCCCCCTGCCGAAGCAGGGTCACCCAGAGCAGGCTGCACAGCACCACGTCCAGGTGGGTCCCCTGCTGCCCCTGATGCACAAAGTCGGGGGGCCACGGTATGAACCAGGCCCCTTGCTACAAGAAATAGCCTCTACCACGGTGACAAGTGGTAGGTGACAACCGTTTGGTCCGGCAGAGTCCTGGGCCCCGCAAAACTGCCAGCGTTCATCCTGCCATGCTTGTGAGCGTGTGGCACGAGGGACAGCCGAGTTCGCTGGAGGGAAAGATGCCCACCTGGCATGGTCCACACACTCCACCACTTTGCCAAAAGTGCCTTCGCCAAGGCTGCCGACGATTTCGTCTAGGAGAGAAAACAGGAGTGGACGTGAACCGCGGAGGCTTGGCGAGAGCTGAGGTCCTGCAATTTCACAGCAATAAAATGTCAAAGCAAAAAAAATGTCTCTCACTGCTACGCTCTTTAAAACTCAAGTGTCTATTGTCTGCCTCAGGCAATTTACTGGTCAGTCCATTTATAAGCAATAAAACACTAGAGACCCCTCCAGTACAATACGAGAGATCTTGTCTAACACGGGGATAGAAAGTAGAGAGGTAAAGTTTTACGAAAGGTGGCTGTACATCGCTCTTGAAGCCAATCGCCGATCCTGCACACCAGGTGGCCTTCCTTGTCATCTTCCACGCTCCTGCTGCGCTTACTGCTCTGTTGGCTTCTCTGTACACACCGCCCCCCGAAACGGCATACGGCCAAGCGCGCACAGCGGGCAGTTCCGAGCGGCAGGATTGAGTTGTCATTCAAAGGTGGAGACGACGGTGCGTCGGTGGTTGGATTTTCCAGATCCCAGCATTTCATAAGGCACACAGCATATATAACGATAGGGATATTGCAAGGGACACGTCAAGACACAAACTAACTTCAAAACAGAAAAGTAATCAACAGCTACAGGTATGTAAAGAAAACTCATTAGCTACGGCTTCCGGTGCAGGAAATCGCCCCCCTCTTCTCTGAAGGGAAGCAGCAGCTGGGAAGCTCCAGTGTTACGGTGGCTTGGTTGGGCACCACCATTCCCCACAGAGGAGCAGCCTCCTCCACAGCACTGGAGGATGCTGCCCAAGGCACGAGAAGGAGGAGGGCTTTGCCAGAAGGACATCATTTTCTCCGCTGGCAAACGTGACGAAGGGTACACAAGCTGTCAGTTTGGACAAGCTGTCCAGTAGAAGCCAGAGTAGCAGTTCTCCCTCTGTGCCGCCCGCTCGTTTGTACCTCGGTTAACAGCTCGCCAGCTACCCGGAGCTGTGTCCTGCCCTGGCTAGAACCAGCCCTTCCCTTCGTGACAGAACCAACGACCAGAGCGATCCTAAATCCAGATGCCCGACGGGCTGCAGACCTGGTGTCGCGCATCGGCCTCAGGATGCAATTTTAAGCCAGGGAGAACTTCAGGATCGGGACAGTTAAATGAATCCCCAGGGAGCGTTTCAAGCTACTTCAGGCATCCCCAAAAGGCATGAGGTCACCTGCACCCCTGCTACTGCCAGCTTCTACTGGAAAACCAGACGAATGTTCCCGGGAGGACCCGGGGTCCACAAAGCAAGCTGCCCTAATTCCTCATCTTTTTAGCCTCAAAGGTAGTTACAAGCTCTAGAGCCAAAGAAATTAATACAAAGCTCTACAATTCCATGCCCAAGCTTCTGTCGGGCTTCTCTTCTGCACCCTGAGCCCCCCAGCTAATCCAAAATAAGGAGCCACAGTCAGACCCCGAGAGGGCAGCTGAAAGGGAGAAGAAGGTCGAGAGGACAGTTGAGACAGCTGTGAGACCTCAAAGGATTCAGATCATGCCAGCCCAACCCTGCACACCGTTACCACCGCACGCACACACACGCAAACCGCGCTGGAGCGTTCTCATCACCGCCCTGGCTCTTTTCGAAAACTAAAGTTAAAAAGTCAACTGGAAAGAAAGAAAGAAAAGGAGGAAGGCAACAGACCGTCAGAAGTTCCCAGCCATGCAGATATCCACTATAGCTGCAGGGATCAGGACTCGCTCATTTAGTTGTAGCAACATTTAAAAGCACCAAACTTGTGAAAGATGGAAACGTTCCTTGGAGGAGAGAAGCAGTGAAGCAGAGACATTTGGTCCGATGCCTCACGACATTCCAGGGTATTCCCAGTCCCGGGACCAGCTTCCCCACCCAGTGCCAAGTACTCCCTGCTAACCCTTGAAACCTCTTGGGCAAGAAACGCTACATCTCAGGGTGGAAAACGGGCAAGTCTTCAGAGGAGCTGAAATCCACGGACCCTTGTGTGGAAACAGGCGAAGAGGACACGAGCGTACCCTCAGAAGGTGGAAGCTGCCTCCTAAGGACAGCGGGACAGGGGTGAATTACCACAGGGCTAACCAGGCTGCCTGATCCCACCCGGCACGGGACGCCGGCACAAAGCCAAGCCGATGTGCCCTCTCAGGAGCGCTCCGTGCCACCGTTGCCCACCGAAACCCCCAGCAGTACGCAGCAGCGAAGCCCTGGCCGTGCACGAACCTGCAGAGCTGGGGCCCCAGCAGCCAGGCTGGCCCACGGCCAAGGCTCACCCTTGTTCGCCTGTCACGTGGGCGCCATTTGAAGCTTTCCCTGATCGCCTCCCTGGCCGTAAAGAGTACAGCTTAGTTTCCTCACGTATTAAGGCTACAGGGGCTGGACTAGTAAAAAGCAACAGCTACGAACGCCTCCCGCTTAACAAGACACGGATTTTGGACTGCACATTCCACGTAACGCAAAAACCAAACAGAAAAATGGGATCAGAGGTACTCACCCAGAGTGTTCAAGAGCTGAAAGGAGGTAAGAACGGTTAAAACCCTGCACAGTCCCGAACTCGTTCTGGATGCTACTCACCGAGGAGGCACTGCTACAAGACCTGGTCCTGCGTTTCCGGCAGTAATGCTGATGCTTCTTCGGACGGTGCTGCTCTCTGCCTCTGGATCGCCGCCAGTTCCGCGAGCGGGTCGAGTAATAGTCCTCTCCGAAAGATGGGCTTCGGTCTTCAAATCTGTAGGCGTCGCTGTCCCGCCTGTATCTCCTGTGATAAGGCATCCTCTCGTGGCTGCAGCACAAACAAGAACGCGTTTTTATCAGCCTGGAGAAGCACGAAAGGCAGAGTCCTGCTGAGACAAAGTGCTCTTGCTCCCACTCCCTGATGGCAGGAAAGAAGCAGGAGCAAGCGTCCTGGCTTCAAAGCACCCCTCCACTGTGGCTCCAACGCCAGCCGCTTCTCATGGGGGAAAACCAGAAAAACTTTGCAAGAGAAAATGGCATTTCAAGGAGCCAGGTGGGGGGAAAGCACCCACTCAGAGCTCGAGCTGAGCCGCCCAGCTCCTCCGAGCCGCCTCCGCCACCACACGCAAGTCGTTTTCTAACAGCGTTTCTCCTCCCCTGGGAAGGTCTCTCATTAGTTTGTAAACAAATGAGAACTGAAGGCAGCAGCAGTGCTCAAGCCACCAGCCCAGGGGAGACTGAAGTCCTCTGAACACTGGGCCTTCGGCATACGCACGCACACCAGCTCAACAGATCGTTAGCAAGAGCCAGAAGGAAAAATTGGTCTCTGCAGAACAGTCAGGCTCCCGTGCCTCTAGCGACAACCAAGGGCTGCAAACATGTAGGGGAAACTTTCGGCCGAGTTCATCTCTGCACTGGGAAGGGCCAGGAGACCTCAGACAAAGCTCCCCGGCGTGAGTATTTCTCAGGAGTCCCACACGCAGTTTCAGGTACCTTGTGTGCACGTTAAGCACGAGAGCAGCTCTCCCTGCCCCACGCTCGATCAGAGCGCGCCTGCGAGCTGCAAGCGCCTCGAGCTAGCGCTGCGATTCTGCAGCTCCTGCCTTTTGCTCTGCGGTCCACATGCTTCCTTGGCAGCACTGGCACGTTACCTCTTTTAAACTGGACAGCAAAAATGGTATCACTTAGCAGTGGCCTACTTCTACCCCCAAAAGCAGGGCTGCCTTCTCCGCCCCAGCTGGTCTGATAAAGCAGCTTCCGCTACCCACTTCACCCATCACTGAGCGAGAAGCCGTGTTTTAAGCCGAAACTCAGAAATAAAGACCAGCACGCTGCCTTTCCAAGGCTGAGCAGCAGCGTTCAGTGCGCACGCTGGGCCGGGCCGATGCTGTCGCCCAGCTGAGAGCAAGAGCAACAGCTTCTCCGGCTGAGACCTCGCTGCAGCTGCTGCAGCCCGGAAACAGGAACTCTTGCTGTTTGCGCCTCTCATCTTTGGCAACAATTAGCTCTCTCGCCGACGGCTTAACGGCACGCAGGTATGCGTGGGGTGGTTCACCTCCTCTTGGATTAAGAATAAAATTTCAGACGGCCTGCCAAGAGAGCAGAGGCTCAAAGCCACCACTGAACTATCCAAAACACAAAAGCAAACGCCAGAACTGTGTTCCAACATCAACACTCCACTCCAAACGCACCTTTGTCAAACTTCAGTGTGTACCTTCAAGATGCAGAGGATTCAGAAATAACAACCTAAAACACAGAGGAGGCCAGCGAACCCACGAGAGGCTCGCGGTCTGAGACTAAAGGGCCAAGCAGGTTTTCACCTAGCAGAAGCCTGCTTTCACCCAGATCTGCCCTACACAATCCATCAGAGGAGAGAACGGAAAAGCCCAGCGTGCACGTCAGCTGCATTTCACAATCCGCTTCCTCCACGTAAACAAAAACCCGGGCTCGGAGGAGACATTTCAGGAATTTAAAGATGAACTCAGCTCCCTGCTGGCTGCACCTGCCCCGTCGAACCGGTGGAACCACACCAGCTCTGCGGCAAGCGGGCAGTGAGCCC